CGAGCTCCCAGCTGTCCCTGCAGGAAGTGGGGTCTTCACCTGATTTGCAGGCAGCTCGCAATTTATTGGAGCATTGAAGGTCTCCTTTCTGACCTTTTCACTTTCAGTTCAAATTTCTTTCATGTCCTCAAATGAAATCTCGGTGGGGTGGAATCTTTGCTCTTTGTGCAGCCTTGCTGTTGTCTACAAACTCCTGAACATACAGGTCAAAGCCAGTTAACATATTTTTTCTTAATTTCAGAGCTTGAGCGTTTGATGCTATTGAGCAATGAAGTCAAGAATCCCAGTAAGTAAGCTCTGGCCCTGAGTGGGACCGCAGCCCCGTGGGGCACGTTCGTTAGCATAGGAGCCCTGGATGGAGCAGCCCCGGGGGAAGGGCGGCTTCATCTCACCCTCCCTGCTTACAGGGCTGGTTACCTCTTGTTTTAAAACAAATGGTAGTTTATATTGTAGCTTGTAGAAACTTGCATTGCCGAAAGAGTGTTTTTAATTTGGGGTTTTGTATAGCTGTTCCTAATTCAAGTGAGATGTCTATCCAATGAAATCTTCGCTTGTTGGATTGCGCTGAGTATGGAAAGAATTCAGGCATCTTCAATCATTGAAAATCCAGAAAGCAAACAGGCAGCACGAGGCTTTAAATGCAGCAGCAGGCTAGCTGGAGTTTTATTTTTTTATTTTTAGTTTCCATAATCTAATACTCCAGGGTTTCACATTCTCAGAAAATTCAATAACTGGGATTGATATTTTCCTACGACATGCGGCTATTCTTTCTCACCAGGGTCCATGCATTATTGGCTTGCTTATTTCTTTTCTTCCTGTAGCGATTCCTCTGAAATCGGAATTAGCTTATGAGATTTTCGATAAAGGCCAGGTTCGCTTCTGGCTGCAGGCCGAGCACCTATCGCCAGACGCCAGCTACCGATTCATCATTAACGACAGAGAAGTCTCTGACAGCGAGGTGAGTGCCGGCGTGAGTGATCTCTGGCTTCGAGGGAGCCAGTTTTGTTTTGTTTGGTCCGTTGCCTAAGTTGACATTCTGTGCTTGTTTCTATCCCTTCTTGAGCTGCAAAGATCGGGGGGTGGAAGGTTGACAAGATGAATGGAGACAATTGATTCTTGCAAGAGCTCCGAGATGCGGTCGGGCTCAGATCAGATATCAGCAGTCTTCCACATCCAAGCTTGCTGGAATCAAATAGTGACAGATTATGTTTAGAGACTCTGAGCTCGCTTCTATGGAAAGGTTCAGGTTACATGGGGGGAAAATATCGTGGATGGATCAGTTCATCTATTCTCGATAACGGTTTTGAAGGCGTGTGTTTTCTGCCCTATCACAAGGAACGCCTCCCTGTGTCCCCCGCCCCTGCCAGCTCCCCAGGGAAGACACGGGCTGGGACGTAAGTTTCTGCAACTTCCCTGACCGTTTCGGCTGCCCTCGTGGAGTGGGCTGCTGATCTGGACAAAGAAGCAGGGCACCCATCAAAAGTGTGTGTCCTGCCGTGGTACAAACACTTTGGTCCTTGCTCTGCTTTTAGCTGCACACTGTGAGTCTTACGATGGTAGCAGGTGCACCTTTTCTGGCTGTGGGGTATTTCAGTGATTGCATTTAGATGCATTTCCTCTTGTCTAGTTATAGCACACCTGGGGACCCAGTTACAGGACGGCCTATGTGAGGGGGTTTTTCTTTACTGTTCAGTGGTGGGGTCAGGGGTCTCTTGAACCCCCCCATCTTAACCCAGTGTGTAGTGGCATCGATATGCTTAGCTATCCTACTGAGTGCTAAATGCTGCATTCATTGGTTCATCGCACAGACGCTAAGCAAAGCCGTGTGAGGCAGGAATCTCTCATTCCTCGGGGCAGCCCCCGTGCGATTTCTCTAGGCTGGACCCGAATCCTCGGCGCAGACTTTGCGTCTGGTGGGTATTTGCTAAAGCTTGGTTGGTTGGAGGGATGCCTGTCAGATGGAAATCTCGCACAGACGAGGACCTCACGCAGCCAACCTTTCCTGTGAGAATCACGACATACTTTACGACTCCTACAAATGGGAGAGTTGGCTAAAAAGCAGAAAATATGTAGCTTCTTTCAGGCTGCCAAAAAACCAATGGTGTGGTATTGTCTACGGGAGAGTACTGTCTGATCGAGGTAACTGGAGAAATTTTCTTCGAGCAGAGATCACACTATGAAACGAAATGGAATTTAGTGTCATTGGCTTTATTTGCAGAATGCCTTTTGATTAACGTTTCCTGGCCGCCGTACAGAGCTTGCTTTAAAAATGGGTGTCGTTGCTGCCTGGCTAATCTTTTGGAATGTGGCTGCACTATTTCACGTCTTTAATTAGCAATCCACAAGTGACTTTGACGTGTGAAGATTGATGCTGTTTTGTGAAAGTCACGTAAAAGCCTGTATTTACGGCTCTCGTAAAATCATTGAACTTCATCTTGCTGCATAATGGCCATAGCAAGGAGCCTAATTATTTCCTAAAACCCGCCCAGACACTGCGGTGCGGTAGCTGAGAACACGGGAAAGGCGACTGTCTTGTTGAGAATCATACCTTTTAGTTTCTCAGAGCTCATTAGAGTAAGTTCCTACCCTTCTCCGCTTACAGGTGTTTGCTGTGAGCTTAACGTCATACAAATAAGGGCCGTGCATTTGTCTAACCAACTTGAAATTACCCTTGGTATTCAAAAGTAAATACTCAAAACCGTAAAGAAATCCAAGGACCCAAGGGAGGGCATGTTCACTGGGCTCTTGTATGCCCACCCCTGCTTGTGCACTGCCCAGAGCTCCTTTAGTCTCCGAGGACGGGGACAGTGTCCTGTGATTGACACCATCGCTGGGGCGAGGGCCAGAGCGCAGGTCCCCTGCATCCGCTGCCTGAGGACGAGCCCTGCATTTGGAAGCGGCCTGGCCGCCTCCGGGGCTCTGCCTAACGTCAGACCCTGCACTGTCCAAGGGTGGCCTGAGATACAGACCATTGTCACTGTCCTTGGAGTGAGGACAGCTACAGCGTGAGGCTCACCCCATTGCTGCTGTCCGCGTGGGCTTCCATCATAGCTGGCCACGTGTTATGTTATTTTCTCCTGGGGATTTTAACATTTCACATTAGAAGCACCTTCTTGGGTAACGTGCAGCGTTTCTGCTGAGCCGGTACCTGGAGCAGTTTGCACTTTGGGGGCTCCCCACGCGGAGCCAGGGCTTTGCCACTGGATGGAAGCTGGTACCCCGCCCGAGCTTGGTCCTTGGTTCGCCCAGCGGTTTCGTCGATAAAATGTCATTTTGTGTTTCTTTGTGTCGCCATCCCTTAAGATATAATAGTCGACGCAGCTGTGAAACGTGGAGAGTGGAAACGGGGAGGGATTTTGGAATTCACTGTGGAATTCTGTTTCCCTGCTGGCTCCCAGGCACACAGAATTAAATGCGACAAGGCCACGGGCATTATCGAGATGGTGATGGATCGATTCACCATCGAGAACGAGGGTACCTACACGGTGCAGATTCACGACGGGAAAGCCAAGAGCCAGTCTTCGCTGGTTCTCATCGGGGACGGTATGCCGTGCTGGACGCTTCCACGTGTCCGTGAAAAATAACTCAAATTCTCTGGGCGGGGGAGAAGCAACCATGTTTCACGTCTTTTCTTTTCTCTTAAATATCAAATTCAGCATTCAGGACCGTCCTAGACGAGGCTGAGTTTCAAAGAAAAGAATTTCTCAGGAAACAAGGTGAGTAGCTGACTGGCTGTCCCACCACCGGCACAGAACGAAGACGTGTGATTTGAGTATTTGTCTAGTGCAGAGCCGACGTGACGCCCAGTGACCCTGCAGGCATCTTAGGTGATCAGGGAATCAGGTCATTTCTGAGCTGTGGAAATTTGGGTACTTTTCTGCTTTGCTCTTTAATGTGCTCTGTCTGTATTTTTTTCCTGCTTCTACCTTTAAAAGCCCCAGATATAATGATAATAATCTTCACATTTCCTGCTGTGGTCCTTGTCAAGGGAATGGTCCCTGTGACCACACTCCGTTGACCGAAAAAAAAAAAAAAATCAGAAGATGGGTCATGAGGTACAAGATCAAGATATTAGTTTTTGTTATTTTTAGTTATTTTTATTTCTAATAGTCAAAAACATTTTATTTCACTCATTTTCACATGGTGAACTTTTTTTTACCAACCTCGTAGAATGTATTTATATGAAAGAAATCAACACATACTTTCTAAACCCGCTTTGCATTTTTATGTTGAATAGGAAAGCGGTGTTATTAGCATATGGCTGACCTCCGCACTCATTTCAAACAAAAATGGTCGATATTTTGGGAAAACATTCACAAATCCATTTTTGCATTGGAATGCTCTATAAATAAGTGTTGACAGAATTGCCAGGTTTTTACCTAAAAAGCTGTCTTTGACCTCATCTCTATTCTCTTATTTTA